AACTTTTCGTTATTCTTGATGCTAAAACAAAACAAATTGATGCCACCTTTGACAAGAAGTCGTGTTTACTAATCCCTCTCTTCAGGTGCATCGCAGCAAGTTTTTAATTTTCATTTTGTAGATGTTTCCAAGGGAGTAAATAGACTTTTCATTTAGGAACTAATTCCTGTACTTTAGGAAGAAATAAAATATATAAATAGCACTAAAAATACCTCAAATTTTTCATTAGATAGAAGCATTTATTGGCATTATTGACATCAACAGGTTTAATTATAAACTTCCTTTTCTCTCCTGTGGCTTCTGCTCAGAACTGATCATTGTTCTGTGGCTAACAAGACAAGGCATCATAACCATCTTCCTAGAGGCTTTATTTCTGAGGTAGAAATCCTTTATTTACAGCTTCTACAGAATGCATTCAGATCTTTTATTTTAACCAGAGATTCTAGTGACAACAGACAACTGAACAAGCAGATAGATTTGGGTTCCTTAGACCTGTTATTGTCAGTCTCTGAGGGAAGAGACTTTGACATTATCTGGTATGAAGAAATCCAAAATAGTGTATAAGACTGTTATTAGTCTTTTTTTGAAGTGCCTGATAACATTTATGGGCCAACGGATGTGATTGAACACATTTTAATGCCAGAAAGTACAGATGGGACCAAACCAGAACATGGATTTCAAATCCACCTGAGGTTTGAAAGCAGATCTAAAATCCAGCTTTTTTTTGGCTTGGACCTATCTCTACCCAAAACTTGTTTTATGAACTCACTGTAAAAGGGTTTATTGAAAGCATTGAGAGGTGGAGCAGGAGGAGAGATGTAATTTTTTTCAAGATGACTGAAAGTTCTCATACAGCTGATGTTTTAGAAATAGTGCAAATATCAAGAAGTGCTTCCTTGCTACAATGCTGAATGTTGGAGCTTCAGTTACAAATAAATAAAAAAAAAAATTAACAAAAAATATGGAAAAAAAAAAAAAGAAACTAGAAGCAAGCAAGTAATTTAGCTGAGTTTGTGGAACACGTGGGAAGGCCTTCTGGATAATCGATTTACTCAGCCAAACATTTTATAGCAGAACTATTCCTTGGAATTTTTACGCTTGGGAAAGTAGTTGTTAAACATTCCAAAAAGTGCTGGCACTTACAAAACAACAACAACAAAAAAATCAACAAGGCAGTATAAAATATCGGTTTTGGGTGGCTATCTTCATACATAAACATTGTCATGTTTTGGAATGTTCTTTATATCTAAGGGCCTGTTAGAAGGTGTAAAGAATTTTGTTTTCTTCAATACCTAATCGTTTTCCATCTTATGATTTGTGTGTGTGTGTGTTGTACAGCAGTATAATTTTTCACTTATTTATTCCATCGGTAGTTATGGTTTGTACAATGTACAATGGTTTCATTTCAAAATAAAATAAAAAATCACAACATGAATGCCGTGTGAATAATTTTTATCAAGAAACTTAACCTCAGTTTGGTTCTTTCTTTTTTTTTTTTCTTTTAAATTTGCAATAAATTTCTGTTTTTATAAATGGTATTTTTAAATGTGCATTCTCTGGTGTTGTTTCGTTTGGTAACGTGTAAAATGATCCACCTTTGAGCAGTCCAAAGGTGTCTTGATAATTGTGTGGTGGGGCAGGGGCAGGTGGTGGTTATGACAATAACAAATAGAAATGGCCAATGTAATTGCAGCAATCTGCAGAATAATTTGGTCGTTTCAGATAATTCATTTACCAAATTCCTGGTTTGGTGCTCGGTTAATGTGTTGTGGTAACTTAAATTGGAGGGGTGAGGGAAGGCAGAATGTGGGAACGTGCTTCAGTTTGGAAACTAGCTCCAGTCTGATGCTTGCAAGGGTAAAACTCCTGAAGAGTTTTGGAAAGATTCTTTACATTCAAGATGGATATAAAGTGTCCAGCTTATTTTTAGTGATCCCTGTGCTCTGTCCCGAGGTGGCCTGCAGCTCCACAGGCAGTGGGCTGCTCTGCTGGCTCTGGCTCCTAGCAGAGTGAGACCCAGCCTGCTCCCACTTTGACACCCTCACATTTACTGGGGTGCTCCTAACATCCTCACCAGCCCCTTAAATTCACTAGCCTGGGAAGGAAACTATGTTTTAGTTTGTTTTTTTTTTTCCTTCTCCAGATTAGTGAATTAAACCAGGAGACACTTATCAAGGAGTTCCATTCTGGGTGGAACTGGAGAGAGAGGAAAGAACAGGTAGAAGCAAGGCTGTAACTCAAGATGGGTCCCAGAAGGAAAGGCCTCTGACCAGGTAAGGCTTGTGCCAGGGAGGGAGCAGCAGCAGCCTGGAGCAGGGCATGGCTGGAGGGTGTCCCTGAGCAGGACGGGCACGGAGCCCTGCTGGAGTGGACTGGGCTGGACTCCTGCACTCAGTCCTGGCCCAGGCTGTGAGTAAAATTCCTTGAGCTCTCCCCCCTCATCAGTATGGGAGTGCTTATCTCCCTGTGTGTAGATTCGGGAGGATAATCTCACCACTAAGTGGTGTGGAATACACTGTGGGCATTAAACAGCTCGGATGTCTCTGTTCACTGTGTGTATTACAGTGGAATTCCTCCTGTGCTAAAAGCCTATTTCAAGGAATTGATGTTGTTCCTTGAAGGAATATCATCAGAAGGTGGTGGCCCGTGTTTCACCTTGCACTGTGGATTGATTTAAAACAGTAAGAAAAGACATACTCAAAAGATGCTGTGGCCTCTTTCCTGTGCCTCCTGGAATTGCTTGCTGTGGAGTAGGAGAGGATTGCTGGCAGTCTTGAACTCTTACTGATCAAGCAAAGGCTCATCTTAAAAGGGCAAACCAAGAGGTCTATCCAAAATAAGTGGATTTATTTTAAGGGATGCCCCTTTCCTTGCATCTGGCAGAGGGGAAAACCTTGAACTTGTGTTGTAGCTTAAAGCTGCTGCCCTTTCTTTAAATGATGGTGTACTCCTAACTCTTCCTAGAAGATTGCACTGCAACCTAATGATTTTATTTTAACAAGTTACCTGTCTTTTCCTGCAGGAGGAAACATTGACTTGCTTAGAATTCAGTGAGATCAGTGTACAGGCTGTTGTCACAGAAATACTTTATACAGTGCTGCTACTGAGGTGATTTTTTTAGCTCAAGTTTAGTTCTGAACAAATTACATGGAAGACTTAATAGGTATTGTTAAACTGTGAATGTTGTTTTGAAATGCTTTAATTTTTTTGTACCTAAAATATTCTCAGAATGTCTTGCTGGGAGGCAGCATATTTTTTAAAGCAAATGTTAATATAGGATAACAATAACCATATTTGAAGCTAAATATGACTGGCCTTTTCTTCAGAATCTGAGCCATGTATGATGCCGACTAAGAGCTGAATGCTAGTTTTGGTTTTTAAGGATCTGAGACAGCTCTCACATGATGTGATCATTCCTTACTGTTGCTTTCATGTGTGGGGAAATGTTTGATCTACCACTCCTCCCCTAAACACAGGGATCAGCCTTGATTCCATGCTAATGAGGAATGTCAGATCATTGCATGGGTGTAATTGGGATATTGCAGGGATGCCTCTTCTCTCCTCACTCAGGACTTGCTCTCAATCTCTTAAGTCTCCCTTGATGTTATTTCTGGTATAACACACCAGAAAAAGTAGCATGTGGCTATTTAATGTTTGGAAGCTTTTTCCCTCCTGAGGGTGGCTGTGTAGAAGAGCCTGTTTTTTCATTTCAAGTGTGAGGTTCTAAAACTGAAATAACATATGCAATTTAGTATAAATGTTTTGGAATGTGTGTCTTAGGATCTCACTGCTCTCCTGGTCATGGAGGCTTGCACTGCAGGGCAAGTTTGAGGTCTTTTCTCTTGACTTTGTGTACACATATTTATGTGCATAGAATTTTGTGCTGTAGGATGAGTCTCTCTCCCCACACCGGCCCTGTTGCCATGTTTTTAAGTTAACCTACAGGATCCATTGCTTCCTTTATGCTTTTGAGAAGGATGAAATCTGACCTTCAATTCCCCTGGAACATCTGTGGTTCCTTTCACGTGCCACTGAGCAGGTAGTGGGTTAGGTGTGAGCCACCAGCCTGGCAGCAGAAGCTCCATGTCCTGGCCTCTCTGTGACTCTGTGGGTCTCCAGCTTCTCTGGCTGCCCTGGCTCTCCTTGCAGACTGCTTCTGGAAAAGAATAAGCAATTTAGTGTATTAAAGACAATTTAAATATTTCTAGCGCAATCACTCTCTCAATATTCTTCAGCCATTTCTGGGCTGTCCCTCTACATCTCCTGTTCCTCAGAGTCCCTTAAGTTTAGGAATGTTTTCCCTAATGGTTAGACCTGGAAGGGACCTCAGGAGATCACTCAGTCCAACCCCGCTGCCCAGGCAGGGTCACCTGGAGCAGGTGACACAGGAACGCGTCCGGCTGTGTTTGGAATGTCTCCAGAGAGGGAGAATCCACGGCCTCCCCGGACAGTTCCAGTGCTCTGCCACCCTCAGTGTAAAGGAGTTTTTCCTCGTGCTCAGGCGGAACATTTCATGCTTTAGTATGTTTTAAAAAGTGAAATAAATTTGTCCTGCTGGATGGAAATCCCCGCTAGATCACTTAAACCAGCCATCCTCAGAAGGAGTGGGGACATTCCTGGCGCAGGGGGAACAGCAACGCCTTCCTCCTTTTCTATTTCTCAGCGATCCTGGCGGATCCGAGGTGTCCCCGCTCGCCCATGCCGGCGGGGGCAGGGCGGCGGCGGGGCCGCTCCGTCGCCTTTAAGCGCGGCGGGGGCCGGCGCGGGGCGGAGCGGGGCGGTGGCGGCGCAGAGCGGGCGCGGGCTCGGCCGCGGCGGCAGCAGCAGCAGCAGCAGCGGGGCCATGGCCGCCGACGTGTTCATGCGGCCGGCGCGGCTGCTCGGGGCGGCGGGGCCGCTGTCCCCCCGCACGGAGCCCGACGAGGACTCGTCGGACACGGACGACGGCGGAGCGTCTCCGGGCGGGGGGCGGCGATGCGGGCCGCGGCGAGGGCAGCCCCCGGGCCCGCAGATCATCCACTCGGGGCACTTCATGGTCTCGTCGCCGCACAGCGAGCACCCGCCCAAGAAAGGCTACGACTTCGACACGGTCAACGAGCAAACCTGCCAGACCTACCAGTTCGGGGCGGCCCGCGGCGGCGGTGGCGCCTGCGGCCGCCTCAGCATCGACGCGTCCCTCACGAAGCTGTTCGAGTGCATGTCCCTGGCCTACAGGTACCGCCGGGCGGCCCCGGCAGCGAGCCCCGGCCGCGGGGACAGCCCGGGCCGGGCTGGGCGGGGGGACCGCGCCGGGGCCCGGCACCGTGTGAGGGGCGGGGTCGCAGCCGTGAGGGGACCCCTCCCGACCGGACCCGACCCGGTTCGGTGCCGCTTTTGTTTTCAGCGAACTTGGGGATCCCGGCGGGCTCTTCCCGCAGGCCCCGGGCCCGTGGCTGGGGTGGGCCGGGGGTGTCGCTGCCCTCCCTGGCTGAGGGCTGAGGGCTGAGGGCTGGGGTCCCGCTCGCCCCGGCTGGCTGCTGGTGCCGCTGGGAACCCTCAGCATCCCGCGGCCAGGCCGGCAGCGAGTGGAAGCCTCTAGTGCTAAGCAGAGACCCTTAAAGGGCAAAGTGCCCTGCTCGATGTGAAACCCGGCCAATTTTCCTTTTTCCCCTCCCCAAATTTTATTTTTGTAACAAAGTCAAGCAAGCGGGCTCTGTCGCTGTTTCCTTTGTTCCTGTGGTGACTGCAGCTGGCAGCAGCACTTCCTGGGTTTATCTTAAGCACCTTTTGCTCAGACTTTAGTTGTGCTTTTCATCTCTTCAGTAAGGCGTTATATTCCCATTTATCCCCTTTGTCTGTCATCCAAAATGGAGGCAGAGCTGTGGAATAGAAGTGTTTTGGAAAGATGTGTGTCTGCTCGAGTCTTTTGTTCCGTGTGATATAGCAGAAACCGGATCCAATCTGATGTTCTCTGCTGAGCGTATTTTGGAAGTTGATTAAAAGGGTTGATGGAAAATGCCTCTTGGCATATCAGCGGAAATATTTATTTTCATCTATAGGCACCACATTATCTTGCTAACAGGAAATTAACTTTGCCCACTCCAAATTCATCTATTTAAGTATTGCTCAATGAAAACGAAACAATAGAACTATCTGTTCTGTACAGTTGCTCTAAGTAATCCTAAAATTTTAGTAATATTGGCCAAGAACGTTATTAGTTATTGGCAAGAGGCTGAACCTCAGATAAGGTGTGTGCATCAGTGGACATAAGTACTTTGCACTAACAAAAGAAATAAAAATATAAGCCTTAATTAAAAATTAATCAATCTACCTTTATTGTGCAAGCTGGGAGGAACTTGCAGAAAAACTTCAGGGATTATGAAGGACAGAACTGGACTGCTCATGTGCATCTGCTCCTCGGCCTCTATCACCTTTGTTTTGTTTTGTGCTTCCATTCGTGCGTCCTTGGGCTTTTGAAACTGAGGATCACATCTTCTGCAAAGGAATAATTCTGTTACACTCACTGACTGTATTGAACTCTGATATAGGTGAATAAATTGAGCACCAAATTTGTTTCGGAAGAAATAATTTTATCCTGCTTGCTGGTGGTAGCATGAGGCAAGGTGCAGAAAATATCTTCTTAGAGGCTGCCAAAGGAAAGCACATTCTTAATGCTTCTGTCCTTGGCTTCCTTAGGGTTTGCTGAGTTGCAGCCCTGAAGCATCCTGCCCAAATCCAGCCTGCTTACTCAGCAGTTTTGGGATACAATTTTTGAATCTGCCCAACAAACCAACTGTAAACTCAGCTCTAAAAAGGATTAAAGTAATTCTGTAAAGTCTGATTTGAGGTGATGGACGTGGCTGTGAAATGGGAAATGGCTTTTTAAGAAATGATTGACCTGCAGGTTGTAGGTCTGTGTTCACATCGTGCTCAGGTTGGATTTGCTCTTGGTTGGTTTTACAGGGATGTTTTTGTGGCTGTTGCCTCAACTGTACCTTTCTCATTATTGCCTGTCAGATCCAGCACTGACAACACATTAATGATTCCACATAAATGTTTTCAGTGCTGCCTTCACTGGGTAGAAATTTGCTCCAGAAAAGGACTGGGGGTGTGGAAACAAACAGCAAAAAGTGTGACACAGAAAGATGAAGATTTTGCTTTGTGGAGGCCTGAGCTGCCTGCAGAGCTGGGTGATGTGGCCGTGTTAAACACAAACCCGAGGAAGCTGCTGTAACAGAGCTCTCTGTGCAATATTTATTTACACATGGCACTCATTGCTGCTATTTCAGGGTTTAAAGTTTTAAAGAGAAGCAGTAAAATGTGTGGTACCCATTAGCTTTGCTGATGGACTAGAAAGCAAAGTTTTTCTAGATTACCTTGGTCATTACCTGGGTCATTACCTCGGGTGGTTTGTTTGGAAGTGACCAAATTTATGCTGGATCATGGATTCGTGGTGTAACCTGGGCTCTTTTAATTGTGCTGTAAATTTCTTTGAGTTTGGCTTTGTGCTGTTAACGGTTAATGTTTTTATGATAAAAAAAGTTATTTCTGAGCACCAGGGAAGCGATTCCCTCATGCCTTTGAGCAGTACAAACCAACATGATTCTAATTTCCATTACAGCTGTTTCAGTCACATATCCAGTTGCACAGCTTGAAAAGTCTCATTTCAGATAAGCCATTCCAGAGGGGAAAATATGCCTATAGCACACTCCCCTGTACAGAGAGCAGATTAAAACAATTTTTAAATTAATTAGTAACTTATAAACACTGGGGTTTACAACAGGTGTCACACGGGCTGTACTTTATCTAAATGTCACTTGTTTTTCTGATGGGATTGATTATGGGAGCTGTACCACACTGGCAGAAGTAAAAGAACATTGGTTTTCCCCTTTTAGCCCCTTCATCTCAGCTCTTTAAACCAATGTGACCTTGCAGACCTTGACGTGTAGGTAGCTAGAATTGACCTGTTGCAGGCAGCTCACTTTAGACTGGCAAAAAGATCTTTAAAAATGTTCTTCTCAAAATGAGAAAGACCTTTGACACTGCTCGTTCTAATGAGAAGCTGTGCTCCTGGGTAGACCTACGATATGCACAATTAAGTAAAATGTTATGTCACCTTGATATTTAATTTAGTAAAGCCCTCTTATAACTTTACCATTATCCAAATAATTCTATTATCCAGAAATAATTTCCTGAAGCTGAACTGTATTCAAAAATATTCCAGCAACAACCTGTCATGAAGGTTTTTTTCCGTGAGATTGGGACAGAAGAATTTTTTCTCTTTGTTTTGGAGACTTGTTGTCTCCAGTGGAAGAATCATATTCAGCTCCATGTAGAATACAGGCTGAAGGCTTCTGTGAGATGAAAAATTGTGCTCTACAAAAGGGCACTGTAAACCATTTATTGCCCTGACAGTCTCGAATATGGGACATTGGACTTCCCTGTGGAAAGCTCTGCTTTGGGAAGAATGATGCATAGTTTAAGGTTTAAAACCTAAAGTAGGAACTTTTCTGAACTGCACGTGGAGCTCTGAAAAATGGATGATGAGAATTGGTGGCCTTATGCTGGTTTATCTTTAGGGTAGAGAGGTAAATCCTGCTAAAATGACTACTGTAATTATTGCAGGGAGTGGGAAATACAGTGCATTACTCCTGGAAAAAGTAGATTTAAATTTAGATTTAGATGATTCTTTATTTTCTCCGGTGTAAAATGGATGTGACATTGCAGATTTCAGTTATACTCTGCCAGTGTGTTGTATACACGCCCTGTGGAGAAATTAGAGGTTGATGAGGCTCTGAGACCATGTAAATAATTAACTTTATGTATTAAGGTTCCCTTCTTGTGCAGTCCTGGGGAGACAGTCCTGCAGTGGAGAGAATGAGCTCCTCAGATGTGTGTGGTCATGTACATTGTGTAAACAAAGCACAAGCTTTATTTTAGGAGTTATTAATGATGCTACTCACGCTGAGTAGTGTTCTTTTTAAACTATTATAAATTATTCTGGCAATTGTTGCTTATCTTAGCATAGGGCATGGTAGGGTAGATGAAGATGACTTTGTGGGCTCATTTATTCTTAAGTAGCCTCAGAGTTCTCTCACCTCTTAATAAGAGCTTAAGGAACATGCCAGGTGTTGTACTTGAGGTAAGAGTGTTAAGGTTGGCATGAGATCCTTGTCCAAAACCCTCTGGATCCTGCTTGCTAGAGCTGCACAGAGCAGGAGAGTGGGCTCTGGGAACTGGGACAAAAGCTGCCTTGTGAAAAGCTTGCCAGGTCATTTCTAGATTTCATCTCTCCTCTTTAGCAATATGACTCCTTCATGTAGATGTAAGCCAAAAATATTCCCTTCCTCAGTGGACTGACGTGAGGGGTCAGCTTGTTTCCAGGGCACCTTTGCCACACATTCTTTGTTCAGTGCAGTGTTTGGGGAAGTTTTCAGCAGTGCTGATAGCACTTGGAGATTAAAAAGAATTCAGTTACATATTTCACATGCTGCTTGTAGAAGCTACTCAGATTAAAACACCTATATTCACCTCTGAATTTAGCCAAACTTGAGCAGAGTTGCTGTTACAAGTATTTTTTAACCATGGTAAGGGTCCCTTCAAAGCGAGGATGCCATATTCAGTGTGCAGTATGATCAGGACATTGGTACTGAGCCTCTTACCCTGCTTATGTCAAATGCTTGATATAGTCACAAGCTTTTAAGCTCTGTGTAAGATGCACTTTGAAATTCCACCTTGACAACCTTGAGCCTCAGGGTGGTTTGCAGGAGGGTTGCTGGGCTGTTCTTGTCTCAGAGATGCATCTCTTTGCCAAAGTAAACATTTAGTAGTGGTAGTGTGAGAAGGCCTTGGTTCAGAGTAAGATTTTGGTGTTTTCAGGGCTACAAATGACTACAGGAAGAACAGACAAATTCTGTGGAAAGGGGTTTAGATACAGGGACAATTTTGTTTCTTTTGCTCCTGGGTATTTTGGTGTCTCTGCAGACTGGCTTCTATGGACCTGGTTGGGCAGGGTGTTACTGTAGAGGTGTGCAGCACAGTAGTCACTGTTTTCATTAAAAAAGCACATTGTTATCATCTTTTGGTCTACCAACTAATCTACACGTTTTGTTGAAATTCTCATCTTGTGTTTTTACTCAGTAAACAGATGTTATTTTTTGGCTTAAGTGCAACATGGATTTAGTAATCATATTTTTTGATGGATTGCTGAAATAGGGAAGAGGGAGCTTGTTTGT